TATTTTTTAAAAAGCTATTATCAGTTTGATGTGTCACAGTCCTGACATCCTTATTTCTAAAAAAGCATCTATATACAATGCAGCCTCCATCTTTTAAGAAAAAAAGCAATTTCTCCAGGCATTATTTTACCTGATCGCTTTATTTCTGGTCCTCTTTTGTTCTGCTACGGTTCTTTCTTCAGAGAACCCAATCAAACTGACCCAATTCTTTAGAGACAAGCAGAGTCTATTAAACTCCGGAGTTATCAACTACTGATTTGATTTAAGAATCCCAACAGGCATCAACTTCACCAAACGTGCAGCGAGATAGATTGGGCAGCTCCAAAGCTCTTCCTGGTCAACTTCCTGAGAAACTCTTTCGTGTTCAGTGGGGACAAACTTTCCTTTCATTCGCTGTTTTTTTCCCCTTCTCCGTGAGAAGAATCTCAATGACGTTTGTGATCAGACATCCCTTGGCACAAAGGAGAATGGGAAGTGGCAGAGTCATGGATGTAGACCCTGGAAGAAGTTACATTTCTGGCAAGAACGGACGGTGTGGTTACTAAAGCATTTCGGCAACTATGGTCTATCAAACGCCAATGTAATTTATTATGAAATCAGGATTCAGCTTTTGGTATTGTTATTTCCCCATCGCATAGATATTTCTTTCTTTGATTCATTCATTCAAACTTTAAACCATCCCATATCTGAAGCTCTCAGGTTGGTTTTCAATAAAGCACCGTAAGCAAAACGGTGGGAATGAAAATGCAGATAAAATGCAGAATGAAAACACCCTACAGATTCAGCAGTGACAAGGCAATACAAATAAAAAGCCAAATAAAATACAGGGGAAAATAAAGGGGCCTTTATCTGGGACCGAAATGGTGCTACAGTGGGAGGGGTGCCGTTGAGCCTTTCTGGGGAAGGATTTCTATCAATGAGGGGGCCACCACAGAAAAAGATCTTTCTCTTCTAGATCCAAACTCGGCTCCATTGGTGGAGGGACCTGGAAGAGGTCCTCACTAGAAGCTCTTAAGGCCCAGGTAGGTACAGAAATCAAATCAAATTAAACAGCACGCAGGTAACCTGGTCCTATATCTTTCATTCTAGTTTCTGCTGCTGATTCTGTGAAAATCTCATTAAGTCGGTGTTGATTCCTAGGGACCACATATCTAGATTTTCTCCATGATGACCTGTCCCCAACTTGGTCTTCCAAGGGTGCCCCCATTCCCATTATAACTGAATCCCACCACCTTGCTTCTGGTTGCCTTCTTCTTCTCTTTCCTTCCATTTTTCCCAGCTTCAGAGCCTTTTCCAGAGAGCTGGGTCTTCACTTAATATGTTCAAAGCAGGATAATTTGAACCTGGCCATTTGATCCTTGAGTAAGAATTGACTGATTCAGTTGTTCTTTCTTGGTTGTCCATGGTATTCTCAAAAGTGGATGGAGATTGTCCATCATCCAGGTCAAGGTAGTCCCAAAGGTGCTTTTTCAAGTGGCAACTGGACTTTCTTTGTTTTTCCTTGAAGACATTTCACTTCCAACTCTGTTGTTCTATTCCATTCCGTCCCGTCCCGTCCCATCCCATCCCATCCCATCCCATTCATCCAAGAAGCTTTTTTACATGCTTGTGAAGAAGGCACGGAAGAGGCTGCGCTTCCTGAGAATGCTCAGGAAGATAAAAATCTATCTCAGCATCTACTTCCGTCCTACTACCATAGCACCATTGAGAGTGTCCTGACATACGGCATTCTTGCATGGGATGGGAGCAGCTCTGTAGTGGACAAAAAAGCTCTACAGAGAATCATTAAAACTGCCCAAAATATCATTGGGCTCCAGCTACCAGCCTTGGATGACACTTTCACCTCTTGCTGTTTGAGGAAGTCACACAACATTCTCAGAGACTCTTCCCATCCTGCTCACAATCTTTGTGAACTGTTGCCTTCTGGCAGAAGATGCAGAACAATTAAAACTCAGACCACACGTTTTCTGAACAGTTTGTATCCCAGAGCTATAATTGCAGTTAACAATGAACTTAAGGTCCACCATCAGTGAGCTGTTGGACAGGATTACTTGGTCTGTTGTGTGGATGCTTGTGTGTTTTTAGGGGATGGGGAATTTTGGTGGGTGGGGAGGTGTTTGGGGATTGTCATGTGTGTGTACATGTTGTATCTGGTCTCTGAGTGTTATGTGAATTTCATTTTATGTATACTGTGTATATACGTACAATGACAATAAAGAATTCAATTCAATTCTTCAGAACTGAGGAAGCTTCTTGAATAAGAAGTGAAACATCTTCATGGAAAAACAAAGAAAGCACAGTTGCCTCTTGAAAAAGAACCTTTGGGATATTCTCAAAAGACTTCCTCAGCAGCAAAGTTCAAAGCATCAATTATCATTCTTCTCCATTTTAGAAACTAGTAAATTGTAATTATATACAAAAACAGAGTTCACTCTCCCAAAAACTGTATCTATCCCCTTCAGCCAATGTACAAATTATGATTTGATAAAACAAAGGATGACCTTCTTTTTAAAGGCTGGAGTCCACATCTAACTTTGGGGTGAGATTGAGGAAAGGGTTTGGGTGGCCCTACAATGTAAAAATGCTGCATTTTATTAAGCAGAAGAAAAAGAATAGGGTTTTTTTTTCCAATGTTTTTTTCCCTAGGGTTTACACAAACTGCCAAAATTATACTGGGTCGATCATTGTTGTAAAATTACTTGACAGTGGCATGGATTAAAAATGGATATTAAATTATTTTCGGGATTGTGCTAAGCCTCTTTTGAGGCGAACATTTCCAATTCTGGGTTATTCCAAAGGTGGAATGAAAGCACCAGGTCATTTCTGGCACGCAAAGGGAGTCTGAAGAATCCCAGAAGAATTTTTGGACTCTCTGAAGCTTGGAGTCCTCCTGAACTATCCAATGCTATGATGGAAGAAAGAGGAAAATGAGATCAGCAGGAAAAAAATGTAAGTGTTTCTAAGCAACAATAAAGACTAAGGATAGCAACATTCCATGAGTTCCATTTGACAGTTGGCTAGATAAAAAAATAGGTGGAAAATTCTCTGGTGGGCTACTTGGTGAAAGGATGAATCTTCCCAGCTTCTTTTCTGCTGAAACAACCTCACCACTGTTCCATCTTCTGCTTCCCAAGTTGGCCAAAATGTCTTCTAGCATTTAACTCCTTAGATGAATTGTCGCATTCAACACAGGTAAGTTCCTTACCAAAATGACAGGGTTTTTTAGAGTCGCCGCTCTACAAAAACTTAATTAAAATGGATTAAATCAAAAATACATTAACGGATGTCTACGGGGTGGGGTCAAAAAAAAAGTCAAGATGGTAACCATAGCTCCAAGCTCCGTCTTGCACATAAAAAACTGGAGCAGATTTTCACATGCCCCAAGGTAGCCGACATCTTGAGATCTTTGCCCTTCCTTTGTGAACAACCCTGAATCAACACAACCCTTTGCTTTGCTTCTGTCTTTTCTCCACTTCTACACATAAAAAAAAAGTCATGGAGTCCAAAGACGATAAAAGAAATCCTGGGCAGTCATCGTCGGAAGATAAAAAATCCAAAGATCAGTCCAATGAAGAGAAAAAAAATAAGGAGGCCAACACAGAAGACAAAAAACCTAGTGAGGGTCCCACGGAGAACGAGGAATCCAAAGAAGCTGACGGCCACGCAGTAAGGCAAAATTATCATTTGTTTTGTCCATTTTCCCTTTGAATTCCTCTATTTCCTTCCAGGGGTTATTTTTATAATTATCCAATTTTTCATAATTCCTGTTTCCTTCTAGGGGTCATTTTTATAACACTCCCATTTTTCATCAAAGCAATTGCAGATTAATTCTAGAATAAAAGCCGTGGGGCGAGGGGCTTGTGAGTTTTCTCCCAGTAGAAGAGTATTGGCAGCTCGAGGTTGAACCGTGGAGTTCTCGACGGCACTGAGGTTGGTGGTTGGCTTGTAGGCATCTCATTACCCAACTTGGCACCATCATCAGTGCCATCAGAGGTAAGGGGTGGGTGGGTTGGCTGCTGGTTTATTTGGAGCAGCTTGCCCTGCCAGGTTTGGTGGTCCTGGGGCTTGTACCCTCAAGGAGGAAACTAGAGCCCCAAATTAGATGTGTCCTGGATGAGGTTGGTCTAATATACAGACAGTCCTCGGTTTATGGCCATCCATTCAGGGATCGTTCCTTCCAGTGGCATTGAATTGAGGACTTAGATGGGTCCTTGGAATTGTGGCCGTTTGCAGTGGTTCTGCCATCACGCAGTTATGATCTTGCAAATCCTTACAAGCAAAGGCAATGGGTAAGCCAGCAGGAAGTCACAAGTCGCAGTCACATGAGATCCTCGCTTAACGACGGCAATCGCAGACTGCCAGAATTGCCATTGCATCCAGTGTTACATACAGAAGCGCCCCATGCAATTGGATCCAATTATTTTAAAAATATATCTCTTTGTTGGGAAAGGAGCTCCACACTATTGTTCTTATCATTTGGGGCTCTCTTTTTGGATTGCACTGAAGCGCTCCAAGCAGGCCGCTACTTTCGGTCAAGACAACCCTGCAAGGTGGGCCATGCTGAGTAAATTGGAATCGCCTGAGTCCCTCCTTCAGCCTTCCTCAGGCCATGGACCTGGGCAAGGATCACTCAGGGCTCAGAACCCGTCGGGACTGCCTGGGGGGAAAAAAATAAATCTGAAATTTAAAAGATTTCTTGAGGACAAGTCTTCCCCAAAAACCCTGAGGCAGCGCTACGCCACTAGCGTAACGAAGCGGCTTCTGAGCCGGCCGGTGCGCCATTTGCGTCCTCCTTTACGCCGGGCCGGCTTTTTTTCCTCGCGACCAGCGCGCGAAGAGTCGCCCAAGGGGGGACGCAGCCGCGTTTGGTCTCGGCCCCGCCTCCTTCCCCTCCCCCGCCGCGCGCTGATTGGTCGCCCTCCGCCGCCCGCCGAGGCTCCGTCCAGACGTTTCTAGAGGCTTGTCGTGACGTCACGGCGGCGGCATTCCAGAAAGTTCGCGGCGGCGCCTATAAAAGCGCCGCAGCCGGCGGGCGCCGCGCCAGTATCGGGAGCATTGGGGCGGGCGGATGAGGTCCGGTGACCCGGCGGCCAAGGTGAGACTCGGGCTGCCCGCGACCGTTGACCGGGCAGGAGACGCTCCGGAGGGGGAAAACGGCATCGCCTCCATGGCGTCCTAACCTGGGATGGAACCTTGGACTACAAATCCCATCATCCGCCCGTCACCTGTTACGCTTTGTCCCGTTCGCCGCCCCTTCTCCCTTCGGGTTAGGCCGAGGGTGATGGGAGAGGAGGAGGAGGAGGCGGTTGCACGTTGAACCGGGTGGGCGAGCGGCCGTGGATGATGGGATTTGTAGATCCAAGGAGCTGGGGTGGAGGAGGAGGAAGAAGGGGAAACAGTGTTGGTTCTGGGCGAGGATCATGGGAATGGCAGCCCAAAAGGGGCAGGGGGGGGGGCTTTGCACTGGGGGGGGTCATGGGCATTGTAGTCCAAACTTTTTTTTTTTTGCTATTTTGGCTGGGGATCATGGGAGTTGTAAAGGGATGAGCAGGCAGAGTGGTCAGTTAGATTGATATAAATAGAAAGGGGGGGGTTAATTCCTTTTTTGCCCAGAATTGCAATTCCAGGTGTGGGAGAAATGAAGGGGGCTGCAGAGACGCCATAATTGGGTTGCCCCCCCCCCCCCAGACCCCCAAAGCCCCCCCCCCCCCAAAAAAAAAACCTTGGAGACCTTCATTGGAAGGGCAACAATACGAGTAGGATCAGGCTGCAATATTAATAAATCCAGAATTGGGGAGAAACCCAAGAGATGAACAGGAGTCGGAAGGGACCTTGTAAGGTCATCTTGTCCAACCCCCACATGCACCCCATTTTTGACAGATGGCAGTCCAGTCTCCTCTTGAAAGCTTCCAGGGATGAAGCTCCCATGATATTTCCCCCCCCTATATATTTTTAATTGTTTACAACCATAAATACAAAACACAGCGCAGCCATTTTGGCATTCCTTTGCCAGACATACCAAAGGTGTCACCAAACCCGTTCACCTTTCTATTATTGGTACAATATTTACATTTGGCTTCCAATCCTAGCAGTTTTTGTTCCAACCTTCCCCTCTTTTTTTTTTTTTTTTTTTTGCAGCCACAGAGGGGGAAAAAAAACACTCCACAAGATTTTTGATAACATCCCAAAGGTGCAAATTTTTCAAGAGGCAAAAAGGGGAGGGATGGAAAAATTCCTTATCCTTCCTGGCGGCTCGTTGGACTTTTTAGCCTTTGGGATCAACTTTGGGTTTTTAGAAAGGAAAGGGAAAAGAAAAAGTGAAAGAGGCTCCCTGAAAAAGCAGATGGTTCATAATCTGTATTTATGCTTCCGGTGCAGCTCTTCATAGGATGTCTGGAAAGGAATTCCCCCTCCTTTCCCCAGCGCCTTTATTATGATTTATTACCCATCAAGGTATTCCCCTGATTTGGAATAAAGCGAGCGACGCGTATTGTGATAAAACTGTAGCTGGATCGAAAATAATCCAGATTATTATTATTTTCTTGGTTGTACAAATGTTGGTTTTTGAAGGATTTCTAGCAGGGCTACCGGATTCTGCAACAGGTAAACTTGCAAGATTTCGGGTTTTGTTTTTTTTCTTGCCATGTGCATGTTACATATCCGAACTAGGCTGTGTTATTACTTTGGGTCATAGACGAAGGGGTGTGTGCAATAATTTTGTACTTATTTTGTCATGCTTCTGCAGTGTATATTTAGAGGGTGACTCCTTGAAAGCTGCATGCCATGAAGTTTCAATTTCAATGTGTGCCGATTAGTATACAGTCAAAGGGACAATAAAGTCGTTCTAAGTTGGTGCGTAACTAGTTATTATAAGCTTGTGGCTGTTCGTCGGTCTGAAATGTTGTGCACCTGTCATTTTCCGTGGCCGTGAGTTGTGGTGGGAAAAATAGAAGTTATTGGGTGTCGTGAGTGATTTTTAAAAATAATAAGGGGAGGTATAAATCTTTTTTTTTTTCATTTTTTAAGCATAAACACAAACAAAACAACAAATAAAACCATCTTTCCACTGTACAGTGTGTCGTACAGTGTGTAACATACCTTCTGTGCACGATATCAACAGTATTTTCCTTCTACATTTAAATTATAATTCATATTATATCAACTATGTCTATCATATTAAAACCTTATCAGACTTTAATTCTAAATTCACATCATTCTTTTTGAGCCAATCTCAACTATTACATGACCTAATACATAACAACATTTGTTTCATTATGATCAATTATATGATTACCTTATCTTGTCATTACTATTATATTTATATTATAATATATTTTATTTTATAATAATATTTTATAATATTTATCCTCTTGCTCTCTAATTGCTAATGTCATAAATGTCATAATCTTAGTGCGACGTGCAATGTATCCCAGAAGTGAGTACACCCCCCTCACGTTTTGTCAATATTTAAGTCTTATCTTTTCATGTGACAATGCTGAAGAAATGACGGCTACAATGTAAAGTAGTGAGCATACAGCTTGTATAACAGTGTAAACGTGCTGTCCCCTCAAAATAACACAACAGCCATTCAGTCTGTTTTGTTACCGCTAGCAACAAAGGTGTGTAGTACACCCCCCTAAGGGACAATGTCCAAATTGAGCCCAAAGTGTCTGTATTTTGTGTGGCCGCTATTATTTTCCAGCGCTGCCTTAACCCTCTTGGGCACAGAGTTCATCAGAGCTTCACAGGTTGCCACTGGTGTCCTCTTCTACTCCTCCATGACGATGTCACGGAGCTGGTGGATGTTAGAGACCTTGCACACCTCCACCTTCCGTTTCAGGAGGCCCCACAGATGCTCCATAGGGTTTAGGTCTGCATCACCTTTACCCTCCGCTTCTTTTAGCAAGGCAGTGGTTGTTTTGGAGGTGTGTTTGGAGTTGTTATGTTGGAACACGGCCCAGTCTCCAAAGGGAAGGGATCATGCTCTGCTTCCATGTGTCACAGCACACCTTGGCACATTTACACTGTTACACAAGCTGTATATTCACTACTTTACATTGTAGCCGTCATTTCTTCAGCGTTGTCACATGACTAAAGATATACTTCAATATTTACAAAATGTGAGGGGGTGTACTCACTTCTGTGATATACTGTACATGCTGCCCTGGCTGGTTATATATTGTGTGATTTAGTTGGTGAGTCACGTTTAGGAAACAATTGAGCCATAAATGCAAGAACTGTCTCTCTGTCCACACGTTCCCCACGCCAAAAGCTGCTCTTTTTTGCTTGTAGGCACCCAGGTCAAGAATGATTCCAACAACACCACCCCCACACCCCCAATTTCAACAGAGATAAGCCTTTGAGATGAGCAAGGTTGGCTCCTTCCCTGGAACGATGCACAACGTGTTTCACAAGAAGGAAAAGAGGCCGCTCATTAAAGGAGGATTCATTATGCAAGGAATTGTTAACGTGTTGAAAGTTCTTTAAAGGAAATGCAAAAGGCAGGTTTTCCTGTGGGTGCCCAACCTTGGCAACTTGAAGACCTTGTGGACTTCCAACTCCCAGAATTCCCCAGCCAGCATGAAGTCCACAAGGTGTCAAAGTTGGATACCCCCTGATCTAGACCATCAACAGAAAAGGTAGAATTCTGTGTGTGTGAACAAAGGGGGAAAAATGCCCTGCCAGGAAACAAAAAGGATGTTGAATTTGAAATATTGCAGCTGAGGCATTGAGTGAATGGATGGTTTGTTTCTTTCTCTCGCCCTCCTAGGCAACCATGGTGAAGGAAACCGGCTATTACGACACTCTGGGAGTGAAACCCAATGCCACCTCGGATGAAATTAAGCGTGCCTACCGCAAGTTAGCATTGAAGTACCATCCTGACAAGAACCCCAGCGAGGGCGAGCGGGTATGAGCTGAAGTTAGATGGGGGAGGCACTTTGGGGTCAACTTTAGCGTCCGGGACCTCAGTGTGCTTTTGCCAATGGGTAATCTGTATAATCAACCGGCTGTATTTGTAATAATTGCACAGTTCACCCCCAAAAATTGCTACTCGTAGAAGAGAGTATTTGGAGCTCGGGGTTGAACTGTGGGATCCTTGGTGCTCACTGAGCTTGGCCGTTTTCTTGCAGACGTTTCATATCCCAACTAGATAACATTAGCAGTGCTGAGGGATCCTTGATTTAGACCTTGGAGAGCTTTCCTAAGACACCCTTACTGCCTGAAAAATAATCTTGTTCTATCATGCAATTATCCTTATCAGACTGTTGAGCTTTACATTTGACAGAAAAGCAGAGCGTAATTATTTTTAAATAATGAGTGTAGCTAGGCGTTACAATTTTATCTGGGAGATACCAGTAAGTTTAAAAAAAAGTATTTTCATTTGTTTCACTTGAGATGCTAAAGAGTCTGGTTTATATCTAAAAGGACTGGTGGAGAAGTAAGAAATATGAATCACATGTTTTCAAGCTTCATGGCAATGCACTGTAGAGGGGAAAAGTTAATCGATGAATGCACAGTTACGCATTAACTTTTTAATTTTCAGCTAGAAAGCGAGTTAACATGTTGATGTTGGGTCACAAAAGAATTTGGGGGGGTGCTTTTAGCAACAACATCTGCAACCTTTCTGTACGAGCAAAAAAAACCCCCGTTAATTTCAAATGAATAAAATTATCAAATTTGTCACATGTGCATATTTTCATTTCAGCATTAATTAAAATGGCCTTTCTGTCTGGAAAGGAGTGTTTGTACTTTGGCAGGGAACATTTAATTTTTCATATTATGGAAACATTTGGTTCTTTGCTCAAGTCCCAGACACAACATCCAGGGTTTTATTATTATTATTAATAATAATAATAATTAATAATTAATAATTAATAATTAATAATAATAATAATAATAATAATAATAATGATAATAATAATAATAATAATAATAATAATAATAATAATAATAATAATAAAATAATGGTTGACTGCAGTTCTGCTGTGCCATGGTGTATCATCCTTTGTGATCACAGCCTGCAGTGCCTGGCTGTGCCATGACACAAAGCTGCATTACCTGTCTGTCCTGAGGCTGCAATTTACATAATGTGTACATAACTTGGAAATAATCCCGCTAAATTCAGGATATTTTATATTTGAGCAAAAGTGCCTTGTGCAAAAGCATTGAATTCAGTCTTTTCCCAGGTGGACACGCCAAATTTGAAGGAAATGCCAACATGTTTATTATCTCCAAAGAATCCTAACAATGCACCGATGGAAACTTTGAAAAGGCAATCGTTGCTTTGAGGCTGGGAAGATGAAAGCTAATTCATGGAACTGCTTTAGCCAGTTCTTTTTACATTTTCTCATGCAGGATGTGTTTCCTATAATGCAAATCCCACTCAACATTGCATAAGAGTAGTAGATTAATAGTCTGGGATGATTTTTTTTTTTTGTGTATACATTTAATTGCACACTTTTGAGGTGAGATCTGAAGGGTTGATAAAGGGCCAACTTGAAATGCTTCAAACATTTTTTTGTCCACATTTTTTTTAAAAGCATTGTATATAACCAGGGCATTGCATTAAGCAAATTGTAAATGATAATGAAATCCTAGCTTGATTACATCCACTGTTTCATTATATAGTACATTTATAGCTATAGCAGTAGTGAAATTTTCATAATAAAGAAATAGCAAGATAAATCATTCTTGCAGGCAACAAAAGGGAACCTCTTCCAAATTTGAAGTAAGTAGAATTTGGTGCGTCCATTGACAGAAATGGCTAAAGTTGGTAGAACTGAATTTTCAATTTAAGATACAGGTACGGTTCAAACAGTAGTAAGAAAAGTATTTTGGATTGAAAATTCAGTTCTGCCAATGTATTTTATATAACTGATGGCATTTGAGAAAATAAACTGCAATTTGGGATCTCCCAAGGCAAATTCTCTCCTAGCAAGTTTTTAGCGGACGTAGCTAGAGCACCGCAAAACAGGCACTTTAGGAAACATTCCAGGGAATGTATGACTGATCTGAAATCTATACTTTTTAAAAATCTGAAATGAGGACGGTGTGCTATTCTTGTGTATAGAGGTTTAGACTTTTTTTTAAAAAAAAGTGAGTTTTTTAAAAGTGCATTTTCCCTGTGTGCTAGCCAGTTATTCAGAGGATCTCTTTCTCTCTCTTAGTTTAAGCTCATTTCCCAGGCTTACGAGGTCCTGTCGGATCCGAAGAGGAGAGATCTCTATGACCAGGGTGGGGAGCAAGCCATTAAAGAAGGCAGCTTAAGTGGCGGAAATTTCTCTTCGCCCATGGACATCTTCGACATGTTCTTTGGTGGCGCTGGCCGGATGAATCGAGAAAGAAGAGGTAGGGGCTTGCGTTTGAAAAGTGGCCTCACTCCCGTTCAAGTATTGGAGGGAAACAAGAGGTTGTAACATGTTCTACGTCAAAGATCACACAGAAAAAAAGTGATTATTTTTTTTTTAGAGCAAACGTTGATTGTGCTTCAATACAGGTGACTTATCGAGAGCCAAGTGGTTTGGAGGGGAGAGAATTGCAAAGCGAAATATTGTAATGCAGGGATCTCCCACCTTGGTACCTATATGACTTGTGGACTTGAATTCCCAGGATTCCTCAGCCAGCATGTCCACAAGTCCTAAAATTGCCAAGGGTTAGAGATCCCTGCTGTAATGAATTCATAGCAGTTTGGTTTTCTCTCAAGACATTGAAAATTCTGGGTATTTTTCCCTGTTAGTGAGTTCCTCTAGAAATTTGTGCAGGAAGAAGGAGTCAGACACGAGTTTTGCAGTTTCAGTTCTGCTTGAGAAATGGTAGACTTAGACGAGCGAATGTACTGCTTTGGAAAAATAATTAAATTTTATTGCAACATTAGTCATGGGGCAACAATTTTAATTGTCTTTTCTGCTTGTTAGGTGTGCCGGTAGCTGCCTAAAAATTCGAAATGCATCTTGGCTATTGTTAATTGTCTGCATTTATGTTTTAATCAGGTAAGAATGTTGTCCATCAGTTGAGCATCATACTGGAAGACTTGTACATGGGAGCCACCAGAAAACTAGCCCTTCAGAAGAATGTTATCTGTGACAAGTGCAAAGGTAATAATTCCTCGATTAGACGACTGCAAGCATGGGGTATAGAAAAGTTGGCCTCTTCTCAGGAATGTTAGGAACTGCTCTTGCCTTCTTGGCTGAAAATGCTGACCATTTCATACAGTATATTTTAAGACACCAGCTGTGTTTCAAGTAAAGCAGATTTTGTGGCGCTGTGACTCACCAGAAATGTTTAATCCAACCAAAGGAATAGATAGATCTCCAGTCTATATTTGTGTTGGATTCATCTTACCGATGTTGCCCTGAATTAACACGAATGAAATCTGGTGGGAGATTTATTTTTCTTCTGCCTCAATCCAGCTTTTTCAGAATGTTGCCATTAAAAAGAAGCATTAAGCAAAAATAAAACGAATCTGTTCAGAAAGTGGACTATAATCATCTTCTTGATAGCGCCTCCGATTTGTGAAATTTCACACCGTCCTCTCAACAAGAGGATTCCCACACACAGCTTTTCAGAACCATTTGCAAATATGAGAAATGGGAAGTAAATAAAATAAGTTTTGCTTACTATTTTGGTCGAGTGTCCTACACAAACGTGATAGGCCAAATAAGGCAATTTTCTTGGTGTTTTTTTTCCAGAATGCATAAAAAAATACCCCTAGTTTTTACGAAGAGGCAATAAACTGTGTATCGACTGAAACGCAGACAGTTGAAATGTAGTTCTGTCTTCCCTGAATTTTAGATATAATGCAGTCCCAATCCTGTTCTCACAGCGGGGTCTGCTGGAAGCCCTATCCATCACCATAGAGATCAGTCTTCAATTTGGAGAGCTGAAAAAAAAACCTGTGATGGCACAAAGGCAACACAGTCAAATAAGTAATAAGAGTCCCTTTATTATCTCCCAACTTTGCCCCCAATGTCCAAGTTACCTTCTGGCTGGAGAAAAACTCTCCCAGGAACAGCCTTTAAGTATAGAAAATTACATCCCAAAATGAGCAACACAAACTGTAACTTAAAGTCCAAACAAGCCAAACTGAAGTAATTAGTTTGGCAGGGCAGGAGCAAGAATATCAGACTTGAAGGCACGGGAAAAACTCACACAGTTGGGAAGATGCCAGGAACACAGAGAAGCCACTATGATACAAGATAAAGTCACATTTTCTCCCAACAGCCTGCCGCACGCAGCCTGCCTTTCTTATCAACTGTCTTCCCAGCTGTGGCTAATGAAGGGAATTGGGGCCCTTTCCTCCCCCGTAAGCCATGCAATCCACGTTGCTCTCTTCTCCGTCCCTCTGTGTGCCCTAGGATGAAGAGGGAGTCGGCTGGGGTCTTCATCTGAACTCTCCCTTGTTCTACCTCTCTCCTGCTCTGGACAGTCCCCTTCCCCAGCCTTCAAAGCCAAACCCTGTCAGCGGTCCGGCTTCCTCCTCAGATTCAGACTCTGACATGGGCATGACAAAACCCATTTGTGTACGTGTGGTTCGTGCGTCATTCATATTGTCAGGATTCCAGTTTGCAAGCTGGCGCACTGCTTACCCCCCCCCCCTTTTTTTTTTCTTTGTTGGCAACCATAGAAATATTTCATGAGTTGACCCATATATTTATGTGTGTGTCTGTTTCTTCTTCCCAGGTTACGGTGGGAAAAAGGGGGCCGTCGAAAAATGCCCCACCTGCAAGGGCCGAGGTGTCCAGGTGTTGGTCCAGCAGATCGGACCTGGCATGGTGCAGCAGATTCAGACCATGTGTCCGGACTGCAAAGGCCAAGGAGAACGGATCAACCCCAAGGACAGGTGTACCAACTGCAACGGCAACAAGGTGGTTAGAGAGAAAAAAATTATCGAAATCCACATCGATAAAGGTAAGAGTTGGAATGCTGCAAGTGGGCATGGGAGACGGCTGTGGAGCTCAGTTCTGCTAGAGAACCTCAGAAGCTAAAATCTTGGTCGTCTTAACTACCAGTGTCAGGGTTCCGGCAGTGACCCCAATGAAATCATGAGTCTCGAGCCAAACTTCCAAAACGATCCTTCCAAAAAGGATTTATTGGGAGTTAACATGTCCGGCACTGCCTGGGTGTAGCCAACTCTGAGGCACATCATTCATTGTCACTCTTGACCCTGGTTTCCCCTCCACCCCCTGGGTGTAACAATTCATATCCTCCAATGGGACACCTCCCTAGCCCAGAGTCATCAATCATGCTCTCCAGTTAGAATTTTGCATAGCGGAAACTTCAGTCACCTAGTTACTATCTTTGAAAAACTATTTATGGAATGCACTTTCAATTTCTTTCCAAGCTGCCCTTTCAAGCCCCCCCCCCCCCCCCCCCCCCCCCATTGCCAACTCTAAAAAGACCCTAGAAATGTTTGATGAGTTGACACCAGGACTTTTCAAACCCAAGCAGACATTTTGGTACCGCTGCCCTGTGAGAAGTTAACCTTTCTAAGTGGCAAAGCTTTTCACCTCTTGTGGTAAAAGGCCGTTCTTGACATTCTTCGGAACTAAATTTTGGTTCCTTGTGATAATTTTTGCCGCATGCCAAGACAGGCTCCCCTCAACTCCTGTTCAGCCACAGGTTTCTGAAACGTAACTTTAGTATTAGAACTTGCAGGTGGGCAAACTTGCGGGTTCTTCTCTTCTTTTACATTCTCAGTTGCAAACACAGGCGAATGCATGAATCAAAGCATGAAGGTGTTCAGTTGCGATTTGCACCCAAAATCCCTGACCATTGGAAGAACATCACACAGAAATACCTTGCTGTGGTCAAGACATTCCCTCCCACCCTTTGTGGTAGGGAATCAGTTGATTCTAAGTGAATCTCTTGGTTGTTAGTCACGCATTTTCATGAGTCGGGACTCCTTTCCTGATTCAGTCTGATTTCTCCGGTGCTCTCCTCTGTTGTGATGACCCAAAGGGGCATGGCACAAAGGCAACACAGTCAAATAAGCAAGAAGAGTCCCATTATTATCTCCCAACTTTGCCCCCCAATGTCCAGAGAAAAAAAATTTCCCAGGAACCAGCCTTTAAGTGGAGGAAATTCAGTCCGAAAACGAAGTACATACAAACTGTAACTAAAAATCCACAGAAACCACGCTGCAGCAATTAACTGGACAGGGCAGGAAAAGAAATTGCAGACTTGAATGGTCAGCCAAACACACACAGTTGGGAAGACGCCAGGAACCCCCCAGATAAGCCTCACCATAAAAGATAACTCACGATTTGCTTCCAACAACTTGCTGTGCGCAGCTTCCCTTTTTAAACACTGTGTTCCCAGCTGCAGCTAATGAAGGGAATCAGGGCCCTTTCCTCCCCTGTAAGCCATGCAACCCACGTTGCTCCCTTCTCCGTTGCTCCCTGCGTGCCCTAGGTTGAAGAGGGGGTGGGCCTGGATCTTTCTCTGAATTCCATCTCCCTTGTTCTACCTCTCCCCTGCTCTGCCCAGCCGAACTTTGCCGTTCCCCAGTTTCCTCCACAGCCAACGGGAGTCACACTCCCACTCCCTGTCAGCTGCTCGGCCTCCCCTTCCGAATCAGATTCCGACAGGGGCATGACATCTGTTTTCTAGGTATGAAAGATGGCCAGAAGCTCGTCTTTCATGGAGAAGGCGATCAGGAACCTGACCTAGAACCAGGAGATGTCATTATCGTACTGGATCAGAAAGATCACTCTGTATTTCAGAGGCGAGGCAACGACTTAGTGATGAAAATGAAAATCCAGCTGACGGAGGCCTTGTGCGGCTTCAAGAAGACCATTGAGACACTGGATGACAGGGTCCTTTTAATAACCTCCAAACCAGGTGGGCTTGGCTCTTTTTTGGGGTGTCTTTGTGTGTAAATGTAGATCCATATTTACATTTTATACATGGTGTCACGATGGCTCTTCCAACAGGTGAAGTGATCAAGCACGGAGACATCAAATGCATCGTAAATGAAGGGATGCCGATTTATAAGTCTCCGTTGGAAAAAGGTTCCTTGATAATACAGTTTCTGGTAAGCCAACTTGGCAGTTGCTTTTTCTTTAAAGTTGATTTAATGCAGGCGTTGGAGGGTGAGCTGATATTAGCAATTAAAATTTGGGGTTTTGTGCCTTTAATTATCTGGGCCTGCTATAAACTCCTGTTGAACTCTGAATTGGTGAGGGAATGTGAGAGTTTTTGATAGCAGCACATGAAAACACTTTGCTGCATAAACACAAGCCACACTTTCACCAGATTTTATACATCATGGTGAATCTCCAAGCTGCTTGTTTGCGGGGCGTAGCCTGAATTCAGAATCAAAATAAGAGCTGGACGGTACCTTGGAGGTCTTCTAGACCAGGGATCCCCAACCTTTTCGACGCCGCGGCCCGGTTCCGGCGTCAGCTGGGCGCCGCGGCCCGGTTCCGGCGTCAGCTGGGCGCCGCCATCTTTTTTTGACGAAAAATCACTTCCGGTGACGTCACCGGAAGTGATCTTTCGTCAAAAAAAATGGCGGCGCCAGCGCTTCTGGTGAGCTTTTTCGGGGAGAAATGGCTTTCTACCCGGAAAAGCTCACCCGAAGCGCTGGCGCCGCCATCTTTTTTGACGAAAAATTGCTTTTTTTGCCAAAAAAAGATGGCGGCGCCCAGCAACCAGCGGCCCGGTAAGGCTTGTTCCGCGGCCTGGTACCGGTCCGCGGACCGGCGGTTGGGGACCCCTGTTCTAGACCAA